TGTCTGATCTCAGAGTTGACCCTGCTGTGAGCAGCAGGCTGGACTGGAGACTTCTTCTGAGGTTTCTTCCAACCTGAACGACTCTGTGATCCCAAGGAAGTAAATCCTCTGTTGAAGAGCCTCCAGGCCCTCAAAAGTTTCTGCTAAAAACACCTGGTGAAGCCAGATGACTAAAAGCAACTCTTCTTACTGACAGTGTGAGTTACAAGTCTCCTGTGGCTTACTTCCCACACCAAATAGGGATGAACTGAAAACTCATTGTGACTGGACAGAAAAATTCACTCCATAACGTTAACTCTAAAAATCTGTCAAACATCAGATGAAATACTAGCAATCTGGTAATGCACAGGAGATTACTTTACTACTAGAAAATTAATTACAGGATCAATTTTGATACCAAATGATATTTAGAAGTCTGTAATTCTTTCCTTAAATAAAAGACCATGAACCATTTTGGAATAAGTTACCACACAAATTAAAATGTCATTCCTGCAAATTAATGGCCGTGATTAAACTGATGGGACACTGCTGATTTCAAAATCTCATTTCAGTAGAGCTCGTACCAGCTAAGATTTGTCCTAGGATTAGAACTACGCTCAATAAATTAAGGGGCATATACCAACCCACATATTTATCACCCACTGAAAAATGTAAAAATAAAAAGAACAGACTGCTATATATCTTTACTTGCACTAAACAGCAGATTAAAATCCAGCCAAGATAGTTTACCATGCAGTAGCTAATCACAGCTACTTAGCCTTTGCACATCATAAAATAAACACCTTAATATAAACTACAGCAACTTCTCTCTGTCTTACACATACATGCCTAACACTTTTTCGATTTTCTCCCTGAAAAACTGTAGAATCCTTTTCTTCCAATGTAACTTTTTTAAAATGGCAAAACTAACTTCCAGATTTGTCATTGTGGTCAGGTAACATCCTACAACTTTCTCCTCTTGATGTTCTCTAATTTGAGCACTTCTCCTAGTCATCTGCTTGGCTGTGATCCACAAGATCCTGGGATCTCTGGAAGAGATCTGAGATTCTAGTAGCTCCTATTTAGCCATGGAGCAAAGGAAGGAAAGGCCTTCTTACAGCTCACTAGCTACCGGAGCAAGTTTCTGACAAATTCTAGCATTCATTCTATGTGCTGGTTAAGGAGCTTCAACTTCATAATTGTGATCCACCAAAAATGTTTGTTAGTGCTCAGTCAGGTTTCTGAAAAGAAACAGAGAATGAGATTTGGCAAATTCACATTTATTAACTAAGGAAATTGTGAAGATGTGCTTACGTAGATGCAGGTTATGCTAGCAAGTCCATTAACACATCCCCCTCAACAGTGCATGTAATTAGATATAATCAAAACTAAGAGTCATGTGGATCAGACAAAACCAAGCTGAATATAAAACTGCAAAATGTTTTCAGAGTAGTTTCATCTAAGACATCACTTGCCTCTTGCTACTTAGGGATTATGTCTCTGGGAAACCAGTATTACACATGTCCAGAACAAACCCATCCAACAAGGGCAAAATGCTTTGTGCACACCACTGCACAAAACAAAAATAGAATTAGCTAGCTCTTATAAGCAGCCATTCCACAGAATTTGTAGCAGTCACCTACTTTTTGATAAAGTTGGTAAGCAAGGATCTTAAAAATCACTAATTTTCAATGACAGACTCAAATCCAGCGCTAAAACTTACTGCAAATGTCAGCTTTGGCCTAAGTAGCAATGCAAGGCTAAAGAGATTACACACCTACAATGAGTTCCTGTAGGATGCGGAGCAATTTGGTTCTAATCCAGTGAAGTACTCAAGTTCATGCTTAACTTTAAATGCATGGGCAGGTCCCCTGAAGATGATGGAACTACTTACACACCTAAAGTTAAAGATGCCCTTAAGTGCTTTACTGGGTTAGGGCCAGAAAGCTCTGTACCTTACAGGAATGAGTTCAGAGTAGAATATGGAGCAGTAGCATAGCAGGGAATTCGGGACCAAAAATACCTTGGGTTAAGTCCCGCTTGCAGTGTTCCATTGAGAAGCACAGTGTCAACACAGTGCAAACACAAGCAGCTGCGTAAGTGCAGACAGGTAGGGCGATGTCTTGGCTAAAGGTAGTCAGAATAATTACATAAATCTGAATTACAAGATCAGAAGGAAAACAAACTGCCACTACTCCCTAATGTATACTCTAACTATAAACTGTATTCCTGCAGTGAAAAGTAATTTTATTTTCAGTTCCTACATAAACTGACAATCCATGCCTGTTATCATGATCAGCCTACCTCACACCACACCTGAGCTCCAGAATTCAAGCATACCCAGCAAAGATGACTAAGACCCGCAGCACCGCACAACACATGGCATCTGCAGTGCAAAAGTCAGGCTGACATTCAGCACAATCCACCTGCTACAAACATCCTACAGGTCTTGCACTCCATAAAACACATTCATTTGCTCAGTACCAGCACTCTTTTTAAAAGACTGGGCTTTAAAGCAAATATTAAGTACCATTGCTTGCTGCCATTCCTACACATCGTACTACAATGTACTCGTGACAGCTCCATGCTAGGAGGCACTCCTTTCTGGCCAGAGCCACTGCTAGCTATTGCACACACCTCTACGAGCTGCATACTGACGGACACGCTGCACACCATCTTCCTGCCAGTTCTAAAGCCCACACACTTCTGAGTCCAAGAAGACACGTTCCACATTTGCAGGGACTCCCATGATTTGGTGAGAGACAGTAGAAAGATCTGGACTAAAACAACCCAGAAGCAGCAGCATATGGGCCTGTCATCTCCAAACTTATTCTGCATAGCCTTAGTCTAACCTTCTGTAGTACAAGAAGCATATTAAAGCTGAACTACATGCATTTATTTCTATGTTTATACACCATAAGCACATATAATTAGCTTAAAAAGGGAGCATAATTAGCCATGTAATGTTATAGGCCATATTACTAAACAACACCCAGATGTCCTGCTATCTCACAAAATATTCAAATACCATTTTCCTGTCAGTGGTAAACTGTATTTATTGCTGTGCCAAAATATCATGACTAATAACATCACCATAGATAGGAACATAATGTTAAGCAAACAATCCTTTTAATCATTATTAAAGTCGGGGTTCTTCAGCATTGTAGCCAAATATAATCTACATTTCCAGAAGGGACAAGCCTTTGTGGACATGAAAGTAACTCTGGAGTCACAGGAGTCTGATCTGAATCAGATCAACCTTTAAACAAGTGGCTCATTGATTTTTTCATATTCAGGCACTGGGAGGCAATGGGGACAGGGGACTGAGAGGAACACCAGTCAGACAGAAATACCCGCCTCACCTTACGTGCACAATCTTACTCTGTGAAATCCATAAGACTCCTCTGGACTTTCTAGTGTGGGGCTTTGGAAAGTGCTTATAAAGGATCTGCTGCCCAGGAAGGTTTCTGGGCTTTTTCCGCTTTGCAGGCTCAGAAAGCACCTCAAAAAGAAACCCCGCGAACAATTAGGAACAAGGAAGACAAAAATCCACTGGCAACTAGGTATTTTGAGATGAGCATGAGACTTCAAATTCATTCATCAAGTTTGCCCCGTAAGAGCACAGAAATCATGCAGTAAACTACAAACTGGCACTGGAAATCCAAGGATTGGCTCTGTCACGAGAGTTTCACTATTTACTTCAGCACAGTTGTTTCACTCACATATGGGCTTCTCATTCATAACTATGTCCTCTAACTCTGGCAATACTCTCGCAACTCAGCAGAGAGATGAACAGACTGAATCACACATGCCCTCCGGTAGTTTGTATTTGGAAGAATCTTGGCGCTGCGCTCCACTATGGGCTAGATTTGGGAAGCCAAGAAGGAACAGCAAATCCACCGCGCTTCTTTCAAGGAGCCTGCAACAAACTCCCATTGTAACAGAGCAAGGATTCAGGGGTTAAGCTGCAAAGTCGCTGGATGGTGGGGGAGCTGCAAAAGGTCAGAGCTTGCTTTATGATGGCTTGCTCAATCCCCTGCAGTTGTCCCTGATACTTGTCAGTGTTGTTCCTTTTGCCACAGCTCTGAAAAGACTTTTGAGTGTGACTTAAAAGCATGGATGGGCCTTGCAAAAGCACCTTCCTCTCCTGAATTACATTTTTAGCTTCTTAAATTTAATTTTTAGTCCCTTTCTTTACTAGTTACTGAGGCAACAGCAAAGCCGGTAGCCTTGCCCATCCTGCCCTCCATGTGCACAGCTCACCCTCAAAAGGAGGAAGGAGCTGAAGAGAGAGCATTACAGAAATAGGTGACCAGGGGATCTCCATGGGATACCAGTGCCTGTGAAACTGTAACCACCACAACAACAAAGACATATCGCCTGTTGCTGTCTGCTGCCCAAACGGGTTTGGGGGTGGGTGGCTGTGAGCCCTCTCCAAGACCAATCTGGGAGGTTTGGGAAACACCTACCACCAAACAAGCAACCATAAATAACTCATGAGCAATGTGGATAACAACGCACACAGCCCAGTGCACAGGAGTCAATCTGATGAGCTTTTTTTCATTTCTGATGTAGCTGCAGTGACATGAGATGTGAATGCACAGAGTAAGGTAGGAGAAGCTTTATATAGGCTGTACAGAAAATACAATGAAGTACAACTAATCCTTGGCAGAAAAGGGCACATTGAGTGAGGAGCCTGAGACTCAGGACTGACCTGGGATGCCCTCAGGTGACCCCTCAGGCATGTCTTTCATGATATGTAGGTGGGAAAGACACTACAGGATCTGGTATGGGATCAGCTTTTTAGAAACAGAAAGTGCTGCAGAAATCACTAGGGCCGATGGAGCCAGGGCTGATGCGCAAAGCCTGTTGTGGTTCTGAAGTTCCCTGAAAACTTCACATGCCTTCCTTCAGGTGAGGGACACCACACGGAGTCATGCACAGCGACACCAGCCACAGCAACAACAGTGACAACAACGGCGTGCAGGAGGAAAGCTTAGCAAAATGATGCCCAGACTTACACAGCTGTTCCCGTTCATGATGAAGTGCGTGGATGCACAGGCTTGCTCCTTCATCTCCTCCATCCCAAAGATGCAGACGGCGGTGGCATTCCAGGCCTTGGCACTGCGGCTATGGCGGAAAACACCCACCCACCATCCCTGCTCACCCAGGTGGACGAGGCTGGAGGAAACGATGAGGCTTCTGCACCCACAGTCCAAATACACATGCCCTTGCAAAGTAAGGCCACCCTCTGAGGGGCGCAGCTGGCGCAGG